GAGTCAATAAGGTTATTGACTGAAGTCAGGTACGTACCTGACTTGAAGAGAAATTTGATTTCTCTTGGTGAATTCGATAGAAAAGGATATGTTTTTCAAGGAGAGAAAAGTATCCTAAGAGTCATGAAGGGGTCGAAGGAAGTCTTGAGAGGCGTGAAGAAACAAGGCTTGTATACCCTTGAGGCTGAGGTTGTAAGTGGTTCGACAAATGTTGCATCCACGAAATCTATGTCGAAGACAAAATTATGGCACATGAGATTGGGCCATGTCAGCGAAAGAGGCCTGGTCGAATTGGGGAAGCAGAACCTGCTAGGAGGTGACAAAGTCGAAAAGTTGGAATTTTGTGAATCTTGTGTATTTGGTAAATCCTGTAGGGCGAAGTTTAACAAAGGCAAGCAAAGAACACATGGATTCCTGGATTACATTCATGCTGATCTTTGGGGGCCTGCAAGGAATCCTTCACACTCAGGTGCAAGGTATTTTCTATCCATCGTTGATGACTATTCCATAAAACTATGGGTATTCATTCAGAAGACGAAGGATGAAACTTTTGAGAATTTCAAAAGTTGGAAGATTCTAGTCGAAACTCAGACTGGCAGAAAGGTTAAGAGGTTGAGAACCGACAATGGCCTTGAATTCTGCAACGAAGCTTTCGACAGTTATTGTGTTGAGTCTGGGATTGCAAGGCATAAGACTGTAGCAGGTACTCCTCAACAAAATGGCTTAGCTGAGAGATTCAATTGAACAATCCTTGAAAGGGTTATATGCATGTTGGTTAGTGCTGGATTGAAGAAGGTGTTTTGGGCGGAAGTTGTTTCGACAGCAGCTTACCTGATAAATAGATGTCCCTCGACTGCCTTGGGAATGAAGACACCTGAAGAAGTTTGGTCGGGACATCCACCTAGTCTCGACAGACTGAGAGTATTTGGTTGTGTGGCCTATGCTCATATTAGGCAAGACAAGGTCGAACCTAGAGCTCTGAAATGCATGTTCATGGGATACCCTGAAGGAGTCAAAGCTTATAGGCTATGGTGCCTAGAGCCAGGTCACAGGAGGTGTATCACCAGTCGAGATGTAGTTTTCAACGAAGCAGAGATGGCTTTCAAGAAAACTGATGATGCTGACGAAGAGCTGGAACAGGGAGAGATTCCTGTTGAGGTGGAGCATGTTGATGCTGAATTGCTTACCCCAGATGAAGTCGAAGAAGACACAGAAGATGTTGTCGAAGATGAGGAGACTGATAATGACTACCTGCTAGCAAGAGACAGGTCGAGGAGAGTCATCAAGCCACCTCAGAGACTTGGGTATGCAGATCTTATAGCTTATGCCTTAATCTCTGCAAGTGAGGTTCTAGACGAAGAACCTAGAGACTATAAGGAAGTTATGAGGAATCAAAAGAAGACAAATTGGTCTTTGATGTATGCTATGGTCTGTACTAGACCCGACATAGCATATGCAGTAAGTCTTGTAAGCAGGTACATGGCGAATCCTGGAAAGGCTCACTGGCAAGCATTGAAGTGGATTTTAAGGTACATAAATGGGTCTCTGAATAGAGTCCTAATTTATGGTGGAGCCTTGGGTGAAGATAGTAAAGCAGTAATCGAAGGATATGTCGACTCTGATTATGCAGGTTGTATGGATTCTAGAAAATCTATCTCTGGATATGTGTTCACTATGTTTGGGACAGCAATCAGTTGGAAAACAACACTTCAGAAGGTCGTTGCCCTATCAACCACTGAAGCGGAGTATATTGCCCTAACTGAAGCTGTGAAGGAAGCATTGTGGCTTGAAGGTTTTGCAAAGGAGCTAAAACTTCAAGGTCGAGTTATCACTGTTAAATGTGATAGTCAAAGCGCAATACACCTGTCGAAGAATTCAGCCTATCATGAGCGAACCAAGCACATTGATGTGAGGCTGCATTTCATCAGAGGGGTAATCGAGCGTGGAGAAGTCCAAGTGCTGAAAGTTTCGACAGATCATAATGCTGCTGATATGATCACCAAGACATTGCCCAGTTGCAAGTTTGTCCACTGTATGCAGTTAATAAATCTGCATGAAGAAAGCTAGTTTCTTGATGTTATAGAGTTAGATCCAAGGTGGAGATTTGTGAGACATTGGATCGAACTCTAGTGTGGTCGAAGTCTGTTCGCAAGTAATGCGTGTTGTAGTCGAAGTTTGTTCTAACATGCATGAGTAAATATTGCTAAGGTTGTTAGCATGAGTAAATATTGCTAAGGTTGTTAGCATGAGTAAATATTGCTAAGGTTGTTAGCATGAGTAAATATTGCTAGGGTTGTTAGCATGTCCTATTTTATTATAAATAGGATGCTAGTTTCTCAATCTTGACATAAGGAAAAATAGGAAGATAAAATCCTAATTTCAAGGGAGAGAGGTTATTTTGTTATTCTTGTATACTTGTAATCTTGTTCTAAGAGAAAGGAAAGAATAGCAGTTTAATAACCAATCCTTGTTGTTCCTTGTTGTTTTACCTTGTTTTCTTTGTTAACCCTAACCCTTGTGTTTCTTGATCATTAAGAAACCGTTTATACTTTGTTTAAAGGTATTTGATTCACAACAGAGACCACATTAAAAAGTATCATAATCATGTAGTACTGATTCAAAAATTTAAAGATATTTTGCTTGAAAATACTTGTTCACAATTATCCATAATCTCCATAAAGACAAGTAAAGTACTTATTGCCTAACTAAACTGGACGCATTTGATGTTGATCTTATTATTCACGTCTCTCCTCGTATAAAATTGGATAACATTCTTATAATTGACTATGCATAAAATTTATTTTGTAATAATGTAATTTTTCTCTTCTATTCTTTTATTTTAATCTTGTACTAAAAAAACAAATCAATCTCAATTGCAAGTACACTACTCAGTTGGTTACATCTTACAAATGACATAAATACGAAACAACTTAAAGTAACTCCAACAGGAGTTTTTCACCTTTTGCGCCAGCGTGGCAAACGCATGAATCCATTTAATAGTGATTGGAGTTAGCCACACTGGCCAACCATAGCATTGCAGTGAGACACTCCATTGGAATAAAATAATAATACAATTGAAAATGGCATGTTGCTGAACTGACAGTTTTTTTTTTTGTTTTTTTTTATTTTTTTTATATTTTAGTTGATTATAAATAAGTCTATTTGAAAATTTTTATATACAAATTTTCTGTCACCCTTTTATTTTCTCTTAAATTTTCAATTTGTCTCACAATTTCATGGCTTTACTCGTAATTTAAAAAAAAAAATCTTACTATTTCTTTTCATTAGCCTTCATTTGACAATATCTTTTACCTAAATTTTCATCTTTTTTTACTTCAAAATTAATATTATTTAAGTCAAATGGATCCTAATCAATATAATTTTTTAACATTTTAGGTTCAATTTCATGCAAAATTATCAAAACTCTAATCCTTAAATTTCTCAAATCTCATTGATGCCAACAAACTCCACTGCATTTTTTTTTTGTCAGCAAACAATCCAAATATTGTTTAGGTCATTAGTACCACTTAAATTGATAATAAATATTATATCGTTATTCAAACTAGCTATTATTAAAACTATTCGTTATTCAAACGAGTCGTTAGTAAAATTAATAGTTATTCAAACTAGATGTTATTCAAACTAGTCGTTAGTCAAACTAGCTATTATTTAAACTAGTCATTATTCAAACTAGCCATTAGTAAAACTAGTCGTTATTCAAACCTTTTGTTGCTCAAACTAGACGTTAGTCAAATTAGATATTAGTCAAACTAGTCATTATTCAACTAACCATTAGTAAAACTAGCCGTTATTCAAACTAATTGTTATTCAAACTAGTCGTTATTCAAATTAGCCGTTAGTCAAACTAATTGTTATTTAAAATAGCCATTATTCAAACTAGCCGTTAGTAAAACTAGTCGCTATTCAAATTATCACTCTTCTCATTTTTCTCCCATTCTTCACTCACTTTAATGGATTCAAACAATTCAAATTATCTCAACAAACTCTTTTGGGACTCGATTAAATAATAATTTATAGATAACATTGATGAAGAACTACTAAAGTCAATGCTTGAGAAGGAACATCAATCTGGAAGTTTCTCTAGGCCAAATAGAAGAACGGTGATAAGTCGAAGTAATGAAGAAGGTACAATCGATTATTCAATTACTACTTCTCGAAAAAATCCAATATACATAGATGTTCAATTCCAAAGAAGGTTCATAATGCATAGACATGTGTTTCTTTGAATTGTAGACGCCCTTGGAACTCATGATGAATATTTTCAAATGAGGATCGATGCAACTGGTAAAAGGGATCTTTCACCATTGCAAAAATGTACATCTATTATTCGTATGTTGGCATATGGGTCTCCCGCTGACATTGTAGACGAATATGTTCGAATCAGTGAAAGAACTTTAGTTGAGTGCTTAAAAAGATTCGTTCAAAGCGTGAGTGTTAGATATAGCGTAAAATATGTAAGAAAGTCTAACAACACTAATGTTGAACATCTTTTACAAATGGGAGAGTCATATGACTTTCCACGTATGTTGGTTCCATTGATTGTATGCATTAGAATGGAAAATTATCCTGTTGCAATGAAAGGACATTTTTGTCAAGGTAATTATGGTAAGTCCACAATCATGCTTGAAGCAGTGGCATCACAAGACTTATGGATTTGGCATGCTTTTTTTGGTAGTGCAGGTTCAAACAATGACATTAATGTGCTAAACCAATGCAACGTGTTTACGATATTTTGGAAGGACATGTTCCTACTGTGCAATATACAATCAACGAGACACCATATAATATGGATATTACTTAGCATATGATACATATCCTTAGTAGGCTACATTTGTCAAGACCATTTCAATGTCGTCGGGAGAAAAAAGAAAATTATTTGCACAACATCAAAAATCAGCTAGAAAGCATGTGGTCCAGCATGTGCTTGACACATGGAAACTCTCAAGCATACCATAAATGTTTGCATCATATTTCACAACATGATTCTTGAAGATGAACAACATACATATGAAGGTGATTTTGATTACTCTTATGATAATGTAGATAACAACAACTCAACAACGGAAACATTTAATAGTCATTATCCGAATCTTACAACAAGACTACAAAGAAGAGCAAGTCTTCATGAAAAACAAGTTCATCGCCAACTTCAACGAGATCTAGTCGAGTATATTTGGAAATATTTTGGACATGAAGATGATTAAATTTAAATTTGACTAATTATGTGATGTTATTTATTTTTATTATTTTAAATTATATGTCATGTATTTGAGATTAATTTTAATTATCATTTTAAAATTTAAAATTAATTTGAATTTTATATACTTATAATTTTAATTTTAATTATTATTTTAAATAAAATAAAATTTAATATAATTAAAATATTAATAGATATAGTAAAGTTTGGATCCAATATGAGTTATTTAAAATTGCATAATTGGAGTAAAAATTAAATGAATTACTTCTAAATGTGATTTAATGGATAAAAAAACCAAAAAATAGGTTGCTACTGTAATACTCTTAGAGCATCTTTAGCGTATAATAAAATTTTCTATAGATAACGATAATTCTAAACAATTTGCATTGCAATAAATAGGGGTGGACAGCGGTCGAATTTGGCCGGTGGTGGGTCAAAAAATAAAAATCGATGAACAATCAAAGATCTTAAATTTCAATCCATTTTCGTCTGATTAAGTGCTCGGGTAAAACGGGTGGTGACTTTAACGGATGACGAGTTTGCCGGTTGGTTCTAATTGTTGGTTCAAAGGTAGAATAAATGATGAAAATGAGAAATATTCTATTAAGAATGACGGCTACAAAACATGATAAAAGTTACAATGATTGTCACCCTATTTATAAGCTAAAACTAGGGTTACTAGAATAAGATAAAATACTAAAATACCCTCTAACAAACTTAGGGGCTAAGGAAAATAGTACAACTAAATATGAATTACTATTAATATTCTAATACCATCCCTTAATTCATATTCCATCAAAACTTGTAACACCAATTCCATCCCTTAGTCTAAGAAATTGATTAGTCTTGATAGCTTTCGTCAGAACATCTGCCAACTGCTTCTGAGTGCTACAGTGTACAACTTCTAACACTCCACTCTGAACTTGATGTCTCAGAAAATGATACTTGGTCTCAATATGTTTGCTTCTCCCATGCAACACTGGGTTTCTGGCAAGATTGATTGCAGACTTGTTGTCAATCATCAACTTCAGAGGTTTGTCTACTTTAATCTTCAGATCCTGCAACAGATTCAGAATCCACACAGCTTGGCATGCAGTAACAGCACCTGCAATGTATTCAGCTTCACAGGTTGACAACGCCACAACAGGTTGCTTCTTGGAACACCAAGAAATGGAACCTCCCATAAATTTGAACAAGTACCCAGATGTACTTCTTCTGTCAACTCTGTCTCCACACCAATCAGAGTCTGAATAACTCAGAAGTTCTGACTCATTATTTCCTCCAGAGGGAAATAACACTCCATACTTCAGAGTTCCTTTGATATACCTCAGAATCCTGACAGCAGCTTGGTAATGGGACCACTTAGGTTTACTCATGAACCTACTAACCATCCCAACTGAGTAGCAAATATCAGGTCTGGTATTGCACAGATACCTCAGAGAACCAACCAACTGTTTGAAGGTTGTAGCGTCCACATCCTTTCCTTCAGAGTCTGAATCCAGTTTCTGATTTGTATCAGAAGGTGTGACAGCCATCTTACAATTCTTCAGATCAAATCTCTTCAGAAGTTCTAATTCATACTTGAGCTGATGCAAAATGATACCTTTCTCAGAATATCTGAACTCCATCCCTAGAAAGTATGTCATTTTGCCTAGATCAGTCATTTCAAGTTCATTCATTAGAACCTTCTTGAACTTGGCTATCTCCTGTTCAGAACTTCCAGTCAGCAGTATATCATCAACATATAAACATACCAGAGTCATATTGCCTTCAGAAGTATGCTGAACATAGACACCGTACTCCATCTCACATTTCTGAAAGCCTTGCTTCTTGAAAAATGAATCAATCTTCTGATTCCAAGCTCTGGGCGCTTGTTTCAATCCATATAGAGCTTTGTATAATCTGTACACCATCCCTTCCTGATTCTTTTTCACAAATCCAGGAGGTTGTGACACGTAAACTTCTTCTTCTAATGGACCGTTCAGAAATGCAGATTTTACATCTAAATGCATCAGAGGCCAATTCCTGTTAGCAGTTATTGCAATTACCATTCTGATTGTTTCATGTCTTGCTACAGGTGCAAACACTTCAGAGTAATCCAGCCCAGGTTTTTGTAGAAATCCTCTGGCTACCAACCTTGCTTTATGTTTGCCAATTGAACCATCTGGCTTTAACTTCTGCTTGAAAACCCATCTGACGCTGATGGCTTTCTTGTCTTTTGGAAGTTCTGTCAGCTTCCAAGTCTTGTTTCTCTCTATAGCATCAAGTTCTTCTTTCATGGCCTTCATCCAGAGCTTCTGCTTAAGAGCCTCTTCTGTACTTATGGGTTCAGAGTCTACTAACATGGCACACTGAATAACTTCTCTTTCAGAGTCTAATTCAGTGTCTTGCAGCATGTCAAATTCTACAAATCTTCTGGGAATGCTTCTGATTCTCTGTGGTCTCTGAACTTGTTCAGAGTCTTGAGCTTCAGATTTTCCAGCTTCAGATGGTTGACTTCCTCTAGAGCTTTGACCATCTTCAAGATCTGACATATTTTCAGAGTCTTGGCCATCTTCAGAGTCTGAATTTCCACCAGAATCTGAATTACCATCAGAGTCTGGATCATCAGAGTCACCTTCATCTTCTGAGTCTTCTCCAGATTCAGAATCACTATCAGAGTCAGAATCAACGTCAAAGTTTACTTCAAATTCAAAAATTCTTAACTCTGACCTTTCTTCAGAAGTTCTAACATCAGAATCAGATTGAGATTTATCCAAATTCCAAACTTCTGATTCCTTCACAATCACATCTCTGCTGAATTCAATTTTATTGGTTTCTGGACAATAGAGCTTGTATGCACCTGTACTGTGGTACCCTATCAGAATCATCACTTTGCTTCTATCATCCAGCTTCTGTCTTCTGGCTTCTGGAACATGTTTATAGCAAACAAAACCAAATACCTTCAGATGACTAACACTTTGCTTGTCTCCAGTCCACTTCTGCATAGGAACTATTTCCTTCAACTTCTTCGTAGGACATCTGTTGAGTATATACGTTGCAGTGGAAACAGCTTCTCCCCAGAGCTTCTGAGGAAGCTTCTTCTCCTTTAGCATGCTTCTCACCATATCAAGCAAAGTACGGTTTCTTCTTTCAGCAAGACCATTGTGTTGAGGGGTATAAGGAGCAGTAACCTCATGCTCAATTCCATTCTCCTCACAGAACTTCTGGAACTCTTTGGAGTTATACTCACCTCCACCATCAGTTCTAAGAATCTTCAACTTCTGACCACTCTGATTCTCAGCCTTCATTCTGAACTTCTTGAATTCATCAAACACCTCATGTTTAAATTTAATAAGGGATACCCATGTCATTCTTGTGAATTCATCAACAAACAACACAAAGTACTTATTCCCTCCAATTGATGCTACTGGAAATGGACCACACACATCAGAATGTACAACTCCCAAGGCATGTTTTGCTCTTGGAGCAACTTCTGACGCAAATGGCAAACGTGGTTGTTTTCCTTCCATGCAAACTTTGCATGACTTCTCAGGCTTCTTAATTGCAGGAATTCCATGTACCAGCTTCTTTGAATTCAGATGTTTTAGGCTTCTGAAATTTAAATGACCAAATCTTCTGTGCCACAGCTCACTCTCCTTCTCAGCACATGTTGCACTAAGACATTCTGAGTCTGCAGTTCTGACATTCACCTTGAATGTTCTATTCCTTCCCTGTTCTGACTCCATAATCAACTTCTGATTGTAGTCATACAGCTTCAGAAGATTGTCCTTCATGGTAACTGAAAAACCTTTCTCAATTAATTGTCCCACACTCATCAGATTGCTTCTGATGCCAGGTACATACCACACGTTCTGAATCAATGCTGTTTTCCCATTGTTCAGAGTCACTCTGACATTTCCCATACCTTCTGCATTAAGATATTTGTCATCAGCACATCTGATCTTTGTCCTCTTTTCAGAGTCAAAGTCAACCAGTCATTTCTTGTTTCCAGTAAGATGATTTGAACAACCAGTGTCCATATACCACCAGTCTGTCAGATCATCAGATTCATAGGCCATCAATAGCACAGATTCGTCATCAGAACTTCTGGCTATATTTGCTTCTTCTGATTTCTTCTCCTTGTTTGACCAACAATCTCTAGCAAAGTGACCAAACTTCTTACAACAGTAACATTTGATCTTCTTCTTGTCATACTTCTCTTTTCCCTTCTGAGCATTCTTTTGTCTATCAGAGGTTGAGCTTTCTGACTTCTGACCACCATCAGATCTTCTCTTAGCTTCTGATTGCTTCTGATACCTCCTATCAGAAGTTTCTTTTAGAGCCTGCTGCTCTACTTCCCTTTCAGAAGTTCTCTCAGTCAAACGCAACTATTGGGCTTCTAAACTGCTCTGCAGCTCTTCAATTCTCATGGTACTCAGATCTTTAGAATGTTCTATTGCTACCACAATGTAATCAAATTGAGAGGTAAGGGATCTCAATACCTTCTCCACGATTGTTTCTTCAGAAAGAGTTTCTCCACACGCCTTCATCTCATTAGTGATCAGAATCACTCTGGAGATGTATTCAGAAACTTTCTCATTATTCTTCATGTTGAGATTCTCATATTGCTTTCTCAAGGACTGAAGCTTCACCTTCTTCACTGATGCGTCACCACCATAACATCTAACCAGTGTGTCCCACGCAGCCTTTGCTGTCGTTGAATCTACAATCTTCTCAAACACATTTACATCAACACATTGATGAATAAAGAATAATGCTTTCTGATCCTTCTTCCTTACTTCCTTTTGCGCGTTTTTCTGTTCATCTGTTGCATCTGCTGCTACCAGAATATAACCATCAGTGACAAGATCTAAAACATCTTGAGCACCAAACAGTACACGCATTTGGATCATCCAACGATTCTAGTTTTTACCGTCAAATACTGGAAGCTTGGTGTTCATGTTGCCGTTTCCGTTCATCTTCACCTTGCACAATACACTCAGATTTCTCACACGGTGTTTCCCA